TGTGTTGTAAGCGATACTAGATCTCGTTATGAGTGTCACCTGTGTTGTAAGCGATACTAGTTCTCGTTATGAGTGTCACGTGTGTGGTAAGCTATTCTAGATCTCGTTATGTGAGTGTCACGTGTGTTGTAAGCGATACTAGATCTCGTTATGAGTGTTACGTGTGTTGTAAGCGATACTAGTTCTCGTTATGAGTGTCACCTGTGTTGTAAGCGATACAAAATCCCGTTATGAGTGTCACGTGTGTTGTAAGCGATACTAGATCTCGTTATGGGTGTTAGGTGTGTTGTAAGCGATACTAGATCTCGTTATGAGTGTCACGTGTGTTGTAAGCGATATTAGATCTTATTATGAGTGTCACGTGTGTTGCAAGCGATACTAGATCTCGTTAAGAGTGTCACCTGTGTTGTAAGCGATACTAGATCTCGTTATGAGTGTCACGTGTGTTGTAAGCGATACTAGATCTCGTTATGAGTTGCATGTGTGCTGTAGGTGATGACAGATCTCGTTATGAGTGCCACGTGTGGTGTAGGTGATACCATATCCTATTATGAGTGTTATGTGTGATAAAAGGGTAACAGATGTCACTATGAGTGTAACATGTGTTTTGCAAAACATTTGCAATTACCACCGGATCCAATCTTGACTAGTTTACCGTTAAGTTAACAAAACTGTCACTATTACAATTGTATATGCATGTTAAGGAATTCAATAATTATATATATTAACTAATATTGATTTTTTCTTTCAAAATTTTCCAATCGTATTATAATCGAAATTCACAGAAACACCTAACAAAACTAATACGTCTCTTTCTATAAACTTCGAGGTTCTGGAGTTGTAATGTCGTAAAGCTAACAATGCGATAAACTGCCTGGTCCTTGTGTTATTCACCACAACATGAGAGTTGTAATGTCGTAAAGCTAACAATGCGATACACTGCCTGGTCCTTGTGTTGTTCACTAAAACATGAGAGTTGTAATGTCGTAAAGCTAACAATGCGATACACTGCCTGATCCTTGTGTTGTTCACTAAAACATGAGAGTTGTAATGTCTTAAAGCTAACAATGCGATACACTGCCTGGTCCTTGTGTTGTTCACCACAACATGAGAGTTGTAATGTCGTAAAGCTAACAATGGTTCCGCAAACTTGTTCTTTATCTCTGTTATACTTTTGGCTTATATATATGACTAAGGTAAAATTTGTTAGGTTAGATATTTATCATCAAAGTACAGCGTATGTGACATATAATTTGTCTAAATGTTATATTGATTCACCGACATTCTTTTTTATCTTAAATATATTTTACTTAAAACTGGCGAACAGAAATGACATGTCAATTTCCATATAAGACATGGAGTATTAACAGATAAACAATCAAGACAAATACGTTACTTTTGTCACAAGATGAGCTTGCCGTCTGGGATCAAATGCATGCTCGCTGACAGAATTAGGTTGTACGATTGTTTTGTTTTTATTTGTATGGTGTAATAATGCTTCATGGTGACTGCTTGTCTCTTTGTTGTAGGTTGTGATTTGTGTCTTGTGGCAGGGTCAAATAGTCTCGAAAGGGTCGTTATTACTTGATTGCTTATACACATTAAGCGTAAAGCAAGATAAACCTAAAGATTATTACAGATTTGTAAAACAATTACATCGCGGACTTTGCTTTGAAAACATATCGAAAAATCTGAAAAGCACTTTCAAAGATATTTGTTTTTGATTTGTACTGTTATTTAATGCATAAAATAACTGTTAGTTAATCTCTCTAGCAGTATTCGTTAATGGTTTATTCATTAGAATATGGTTTCTGCATTGAACATGTATACACAACAAAACATTCGCTAACCTTGAAGCTATTTTAAATGAAAAATTAAAAAATATACCCTTACCTACAACATTTATTTAAAATGACACAAGCAAAGGCTTCCAGCCTATTTCTTCTGTGTGTGTCACGCATTGTGGTGAATATTTTAGGTTCTTATATCTTGAAATAAGAGAAGGAAAAGCCACGATAGCAGAAATCTCATCTCGTGATATTTTGATTGATGCAGCTTCTTGAAACAGTTCCTCTTGTAGGTAACACACCAGGGAAATTGTTTTGAGTGTTGACAGTTAAGGCATAAAACAACTGAATTAGCTGATTAACTTATAGTATTGTCTATCTTTTAAAAGACATTAAAACCTATATCAGAAAGCTTTTCAGCCATATTAATGGTTCTTGTTTTTCTATACAATGATTGAGGAGCAGTTTGGATTTTTTTTGTCTTGCTGTAATTTCGATTTCTCCATGTATAATCTTATACGAAAGATTGACGATACATTTTTAAGGTTAATTTAATTTTTTCATTATTTAAACGATCCAAAGGGTATTAATACATTTTTTTTCTTTTTTCATCGCCATTTTGTCGAGGTTATATAATAAGAGTGTCCACGCCTACATGACTTGGCCACTACCAGTAGTTGAGATAACATACTGTACCATTTTTGTCATTTTCGGTTTGGATTAAGATGTCAGTAATATGAATTGGGATAGTCTATTTTCAGTTTTTGATTTGTTTTGCGTGTCACATGTTCCAGCATGGTTTGACCAAGAGGATGACTAATATCATCTCAATCAACACCTATGCTTTCACAAGTGCCAACAAGCAAACAAACGTCATCGGATAGTGAGCTCACAACTGGCGCGTTGATTTCACATTTTGATCTATTTAAATATTTGCATTAACCAATATTGACAGTTCAGTTTTCTCTGTTCTCTGAGCACTTAGTGTTTTGTGCCATATTCCGTTACAGATGTCTCATATAAGAAGGTATGTGTGCTGTTTTTGGATGGAATCACCAAGACGACACTTATCAATGTTATTGGAACTTACGTCAGCAGACAGGTAGGGACAAACATCGAATGCTGAGTTGATGCAATACATCTTTTTCTTAATTGAATATAATGGGTTTTCTTTACTTCCAAAATGACGTTAATATCGGTATATTTCATGAAGTTAAAAAATATCATGCTCTTTCAATAATAGGTAAAGGCACATATGTCATGTTTCATTAACTCGAATGGGTCTTAAAATAGAGAATTTATGGCTGAATCAGATGCAATTACTTTTAATTTGAAAACAATACATATTCTCTCTCAGTTTATGAAGGGTATGTATGATTTGTCTCAACGTTTTGCATATTTATAGACATCAAGCCTAGAATGCCCAAAGGTTGGTTATTCTGTTTTTTTATCATTTGTCTAATTCCGCTTCAATACAATATATATGTAAACAGAAATTTGAACACACATAGCACTCATACATGTATAAGCAGCAATGTAAAGGTTACTGTATGTTACAAGCGAGAACTGTTTGAAATCTGTATTTACTTAGATAACAATCCATTATTTTTAAATCTCAAATTTTCCTATTTTCTTTAAAATGAAATTACTGGATTGTGGTTCTAAAAAAAACTCAAAAGATCTATCGATTAATTTTGAACACTCTCTCATCAGAAATGTTCTTCAATAGAAACATTTGACTTTTCTACTCTTCGTGGCATGCCTACACCTCATACCAAACCTCACTATGCAGACTTCTCTTCAAAACACTAAAGACGATATAAATAAATGTCTCTTAATCATGTTGGAGCATATTTTGTGACAAACACGACAAAGATCAGAATGAAATACTACAGTGTACTGAGGATGAAATGTTCTTTGTTAAGTTCCGTGGCAAGATTACCCAGTATAATGTAACCATGCCCTTTTATATGAGTTTGAATTTATTTAAGAACTTATCATTACTAATAACATACCATTGTCACATGCTTTAATTTCCCATTCAGTTATATCGACAATGTGCTGTCATTAAATACTGAAATATGTTGACCACGTCAAACGTATATACCCTCCCGAACAAACTTAAAATCAAAGATTTATCGACCGCTTTCGTCAATCACTACAACATATCCAGAATGACGGCTTTCTTCTACTAAAGCTGTACCTGACACGATTAACTTGACGATTTCGAGTTTCTTATCATGGACTTTCCCTTTCTTGTTAGTAACAGTTTTCCCCAAGGAAGCACGTTTATGTCATAACTGATAAGTTTTATGGTTGTCAACATAATCTCAAAGAAAACAGTACAGTGACAGTTCATAGTATTTGACGTAGATTTAACATTGCAGGAGTCGTCGATGAACAAACGACCAATAAACGTCCCTTTCCGGAACTCTTGGTCATACACTGTATTCTCCTTGTACTTTTTCAAAGGTATCCATGTAAATTTGTTCTTTGTTTCTTATTTTGCCATAGTACGACCGTTGCTGATTTCAAATAACGGTTCTGTATAAATTCCTGTGTTGTCTTGTTGTTTTTAGTGGGTTTTTTTCTATTTCCTTAAAGATGTGCTTAAGATTCAACCTCCTCTTTTCATAAGTTACATTTATCGCATTCCTTTACCCCTATGTGTTATTCATTTTAATATTAGAAGTTCCTAATTGACGCTATTCTATATTGAAACCAATGAAATAGTTTGTCCTTTTAGGTTTTAAACATTTCCGAAGTCGTTTTAGCAGTAAAACGACATTAATTTAATGGATTCAGGTGAGTTCGTGACATGAACAGACAAAACCGAGACAAACACATAAGGTAGATACAGGACTCAACACTTTTAATTTAGATATACAGTCACAGGTATGTATATGACAGCAATATCATACATGCCGATTTAAAGTGTTCTGAATATTGAACTACCTTGAAGGTCAGAGTACCGTGAAGATAGCAGTTGACTTTGAAGCTAGTCGTACTTGCATGCAGCAATAAGGAAGCCAAACGATCTTGTTACAAATATAAGATTTTGGGCGATATCAACACATTTTGTTCGGTGACTAAGCCTCTGGTACAATGGATATGTATTAGGTGTGTAGTTACATGCTGTTGTGTTACAGTGACAAATCGTCGTAGGGATGTAACCAGGAAGTTACGGTAGAAATTTTCCGGCTGTGCGAGTGGGGTTTTAAATAGACCCGGAAGTTATGAACTAAATAAAATTTGAAAAGTGCATTGCTGTAAGGGTAAACAGTTCTCGAAATGATGAAAGCAGTGAAGAAGGTTTTATAAGTACAGAAGTTTAAGTATGAAGGAGGCTATCAGGACTGGTTGGTTGGTGGTGCTGGTTCTGTCTCCCGCCTGTCTCAGTATTCCGGCTGGTTTGTATACATTTGGATTATATATTTTTTCCGAAAAATTATGTGTGTTTCAGGTATTCCTACCTTTCTAGATTTTCTTGTCGACCCCTGAACATGTTATCACCTACTTGTATCCCACATTAGTTTATTACCCAGGTTAAGTTCACAGTCATTCATTTAATTGTTTCCTATTCTGTGCGCATGGCCCCGTTCCTGATAACTTAATAGCAATTACAGGTGGAGAAACGCTTTGTTAAATTTGATATAAAGCATAATATTGATGCATGAAAGTAAGAAACTAAATTCAATAAATGATTTGTCTACCGACCTACCCTTTTTTTTTTGCATGTTACCTGAAACACACATATTGTTTTTAGCCTCGTATACAATCTGTCTATGCAATACAAACTTGAATTGTAAACGGAAAGTTTATCTCCATAAACGTAAGGATTTGTCTCTTGTGAAAATGGGTTTGAAACGTTATATTTTCAATGGATACTTGCAAGAGGCTTACTAATAATAGAATGCAATTATGATTTTGAACTTAACATTTTGTACAAAATAACCAACGAGTATTCAACATTTAGTGAAACACACATTTCCTAGTTCATATATGTTGCATGTATAAATGGTTCGTGGAATCGCGAAGAAAAATCAGTGGGGTTACAAGTATACAGCTCCTTTTAAAAAAGAAGATCGACACAAATGTTTTCATTCTACTTTTAGTTTATGTCAGTTAAAGGACCCTTACACAGCACAGGAACGCGTTATGATACACATGTTTAGGTGTATATACACAGACTCACTGTATGGTATTCACGGAGTTATACGTATGAATACATCAACACAATACCCCCATACCCAGACTCAATAGATTGTCACATAACACAGGTGTCCGATGTCTTCCCTGTTAGTTACACATTCTAGTCATCTAACAGACAATAGTTAAGGGATGTAGATGGATATTTATGCAAATTTGAATCGGTTACAGTTATCAAATAAACTTTGAAAACACCTGTTTGATTTTATAGATATCATAAGTAGGTAATATGTTTATACCGTGATATCCACAATTTCAAAGCAGGTGTTTTTAAAGTTTTGCTTTCTTTCTATTTTGTTTTTGTCTTCAAACACACACATATGTACATTATTAACCCTGTTAACTGTTATATTTTTTTACTTCTTACACAATCGAATTATCTTTTCAGATTATCTGATAACTGGTCCTCGTGACAACGACACGTGCGCGGCACTAGGAGGGGTTTGTCAGAATGACAGTCTGTACTGTACCGGGTCGTACTTCAGCAATAAGTGCGCAGGTCCAGTCACGACCAGGTGTTGCACGAAGACCATCACGAGTAAGTTCATCGTTAATTGAGTTAAAAAATAAACATTTTCAATATATGCGCATGTACATGTGTATGTTGTTGTGGCACTGATCAAAATAGACATACAGATTTTGACTTAAGTCCTGATAGCGTCATGATTCTTGGGTCACGTATGCGTTTCTTTATTCATGATACAAACGCAACGCATTATTTAATGAGGCATTAGTTATCAGCCAATAAAGATTCTTCTAAAGTGGAAAGATATATCATATCACTAAATTAGATACATATACTGCATTTAGGTCGAGTGTTTTTTTTTTTATATTACTTACTTATACAATACACAATATCAATATTTCTAAAATGACATGTTAGATGTCACACCTCCACGGCTGTACTTCCGGCTAGGATCGATTGAGAATCCCCTGTTTTTGTTTTCACAAAGTTATCCTTTCGAGCATATTATAAACTGAATGCTACTTTTGCAGTGTATCCATAACTTCCTGACTTTTTTATGTCACGCTATGGTGTTTTAATTTGTTATTCATTTCTTCAAGTTCGTGACACAAAGGAGTGCAAGGACGTAATGATAATATCACGTGACTCTTGGGGAGCCCGTCGTCCTGTAAAGGTGCTTCCCCTAAAAACACCGGTTGGGGACTTCTTTATTCACCACACGGACACCAAAAACTGTACGTCTTCCGACAAATGTATCAGCATCGTCAAAGGCATCCAGAACTTCCACATGAACGATAGACGTAAGTATCATCTGACGAGCCACAAAGACACCCGTTATATCAGCTGTTAGTGCTCTCTAAGTCCGTGGTGTTTCATTGTGTTTTGTGCATCCGTGTACATGTAACGCATTTCCAACTATGTGACGTTCTGTAGAAGAGATAACATCTTCTATTAAATCATAAGGACACAAGTATTGCCGTACTCAAAATACTTTATTTGAATATCGACGTTTTGGAAATATTTCTTAAGATCGATGTTTCAATTGATATAGCATCAAACAAACAGCTTATATATCTTACTACTCTTGAATAGTGTATCTAGTTTTAACATATTTCAAATATTAATCGGACTTTCATCAGACACTTCGTGTTAGTGAAGCAGACGACAGCAAGGACGTATAGGCTTGATATGAGATAATGTTACGTACTATTATTATACTTCTGGAAGGGATATGGGTTAATTTAATTAATCATGTTTCTCTCTTACTTCCTCATCATGCCACGTGATAATCGCGGGTAAACAAATGATCATGTTTCACTACAACAAGGACATTATATATAATGTTCTACGTTTGGTATTTGATACAAACTGCTTGTATTTTATATCATTAACAAGTCCGGTTGAATAAAGTTTCAGCGACCTCTAGAAATATGTGTATGCACTTCTTGCTAGTAATGCATGTCTGTATACATTTCCAGATTGGTCGGACATCGCTTACAGTTTCCTGGTAGGTGAGGACGGTCACGTTTATGAGGGGCGTGGCTGGAAGACAGTAGGATCACATACCCTCGGATGTAACGACGTGAGTTTGGCGGCGTCTATGATCGGAGATTTCAACGACATGCTACCAAATGCAGCAGCATTGTCCGCCGTCAAACGTTTGATCACGTGTGGTGTCGAGATCGCACGACTAAGGACAGACTACAGCCTGTTCGGACACAGAGACGTGCGCGACACCGACTGTCCTGGAAACGCTCTGTACAAGAATATGTCATCCTGGACACACTTCCATCTCCATGGTCCAGGATGTCCTAAACTCACGTGATTACAGTCCGTGTCTTGTAACGCTTCTTGTTGAAGCTTTTGGACAAAATACCTTAATTTTGTGTACTTCCATTAAAACGCAATATCACCATTATGACGTTATAGCACACTAGATAAACTGTCGTTGCATTGTGACTTCGCGTTGATTTTCTTTCTATAGTTCATGTGTGTATGTTAATTGTTTCTGACTATATTGTTTATGTAAACTTTGTATTCGAGGAAAGCAAGAGAATAAGATAGTAAACCACGCTCTCTAATACATCAATGACGTCACAAGTTGTTATTTTGTTGTTGTTTAGAATTAAAACGCTGTAGCAGCTGTTTCATATCCTGCATGTGGTACTTATATCTATCCTTGAAGTCTCCATTGTTTAGGGGCCGCAGTGGTCGAGTGGTTAAGGCGTCTGATAATCTCAATTCAATTCTTTTATTCTGTAAGCCATTTCGGCTTATAAGACAAATTACGTGTGTACAATACAGTTATTATATAACAATTACATACATAGCATTCATGCAATTGAACATATACATGTAATAAGGAGAGTAATACATGCCAGACACACATATATATATAGGACTATGATACTCGAGAACGTTGCTTAAATGCGAAATGTATGAATTTTCCTAGATTGTTTAGTTCTTTAACATTATTTACACAAGTAATTGTATAAGTTTAAACACACTTGGTTTACGATAATAGTATGGCTTTAAGTATTTAGAGCGTATGTTGCAATAAAATGGACACTTCAAAATAAAGTGAAATTCGTCCTCTATATCATTGAGATCACATAGTTCACATAACCTTTCGGTCCTAGCAGTATTCGTATATCTCCCACTTTCTATCTTAAGGTTATGTGATGATAATCGAATACGGGAGATATTTTTCTTATATAGTTTGTCAATAAGTTTTCTTAAATAAAATTGTAAATCAAAGTTGTCTACCAAGTGTTGATACAATGATCCTTTGGACGAATTTCTTATATTTGACAATATTTCTTGAGTATGAATATCATAAAATGTGTGTTCTATAATTTTATACATAACCTTACTATCATAGTTGCTGTTCCATAAATACCCCAAACCTAGTAAATTCAGTTTTTGTCTTATTTTCATAATCCAGTCATCATTATCTAGATTTCTTTGTTCGTAACATGCTTTGAGTATACAATTGTCGGAGTCTTTGACTTTGATCCAGTATTTCAATATTTTCAATTTTCTTGCAACATGCATCGGAAGCCTGCCTAATTCAAAATATACCAAGTCATTACATGATTTCTTACCAACACCTAAAATATTATTACAAAAACAGGTATGTACTTTTTCAACTTCCAACGCTCTGTGAAAACCCCAAATTTCACTCGCATATCCTATTACACTGCTAATATACGTATCAAACACTGAACATAACGTTTGAGTGTTGAAATTGTGGTTTCTAATTTTGTTATATAAAGCAAAATATGCCTTTCGTCCTTTTTCGGCAGCATGTTGTTGCGTTTTACTGAATTTTCCATTGAAGTTAAAAAGCATGCCCAGATAGTTAAACTCATTCACTTGTTGCAATGCATTATTGTCATAGTACCATTTTGCTTCATTTCGCACAATCCCTCCATTTCTAAATATTACTACTTAATACTTTCCGATATTCAGTGTGAGTTTCCATTCCATATTGTATAATAACAATGTATCTAGCATATGTTTTAGTTCTTGAGGTTATTCTGCAATTAAGACGGAGTCATCAGCATCCATTAGCAAAAATATGGATATCATTCCTAACTCGACAGATGAACAGTTTTGATTTATAAAATGCATTTCACAATCATTCACAAAAAGACTACACAGAATCGGTGAGAGTACTTCCCCTTGAAAAAGACCGATCTTCTTGTTGAATACGCTGATATACAACCATTATATTTTACACACGATTTGACATTTTCGTACAATGATGTTATAATTCTAAGTACTTTACCAATCCATGCTTTATTAGTTTATACCAAAGTTTACTTCTGTCAATAAGATAAAATGCTTTTTTTGTAGTCTACAAAACAGCAGTATAATCTCTTCCTTTTCTTTAAAGTTCTATTAATCAGCGATTGTAAAACAAAAATTGCATCAACAGTTGAAGTTCCCACTTTAAAAATAAATTGGGCATCTGTGATAATCGAATGTTCTTTATCCCATTTGAGCAGTCTCTTGTTTAATATGGACGTTATACCTCTATAATTGCCAACAAAGTTTACATCACATTTCTTGTGTATTGGAACTATACTGCCACGTGACCATACATCAGGGGAAAAACTTGATTTTTTTTGGTTAAAAGTTTGATTATACATGGCAACATAATTTCCTCGCAATCTATAAATAATTCGTTTAAAATGTTATCTTCACTGTAACTCTTGTCTCTTTTCAAATTCAGTATAACAGTGCGAATTTCGTCTATAGTAAATGGTTCATCCAGTTTTTCGAATACCGAGATATTTGAGTTATCCAGTGTGTCTTCAAGATCATCGTAAGGTGCATTATTGTCATCGCCACTTAATGTTTTAAAATATGCTAAGAACTCGTTAATACCAATATTCGATCGAGTGCTAGTACTGCGACTCCTAGAGAAATATTTATAAAATTTCTTAGGGTTAGACTTTCTAAGATACTCCACCATATCACCTTCTTGGCGTAAGTATTGTCTCTTAAGTTTATATTCCATTTTTTTGTACGATTTTTTCTTCCTTACTAAGATTACATGATTATCAGCGGACTTGTTAATATTGAATTCAAATAAGGCAATCTTGTACTCCATATATCTATTTTAACATTCGTCATCAAACCACGATTTGTCGTCTTTCTTTGGCTTATTATTATATTTCTTTTTGCAATTCGTAACTTTCACATCACAATTAGGTAACACGACACCATTTATATCAATACATTTTTTTTCTACACAAACAGGCATATCACACGTACTCATTAGATCCGTGACTATTTCATTTAGGCCAGTGGATATAATATCAACATTATTACGGTTCCATTTGACTGTTTTTGGAACATTTCTTGTACTTAGCGTTTTATCTTCATCATTCACATTTAGGTAACTACAATCAAGAGCAAAAGCCAAGACTAGTCCCAATGTTGTTCAAAAATGTAAAGCTTCCATTTAAGTCGCCTGCATGGCGACCATTTACTATACGTAGATTTGTCGTTTTGCATAATGTTAATAATCGCCTCCCGTATGAATTTACCTGTTTGTCCATATTACTACGAGTGCATATTGCTGTATCGTTATTATAATCAAAGGCTTCCATAGTGTCCACCATAGTTTAACCGAGACCGTCATTGACAATGTAGTCAGACCTCGTTCCAGTTCTGGCATTAAGATCTCCTAATACGTATAGATTACCATTATGTTTATAGATTTACATTTGCTCCCGCGCCGTCCCATTACAACAGTGTGAGAGGGCAGTTGTAATTATATAGGCTATAATTACAACTGCTCGACTATAATTACAACTGCCTGTTTCAGGTGTAGGATTATGTAAACAAACAAAATGGCCGCCTGAAATGTATTTTGAGGCAGGGCAAATGTTTTTTGTAGGAATATGTCTTAAAAAAGAAAAATATGTAAATATAAAAAATAACTGGTTGTCTGGATGTAATTATTGGTAATATAATTACAAGCGGCCTCTGGCAAATCTACCATAAAACCCTAGCGGGTTTTATGGGATTTGCCAGAGGCCACTTGTAATCAACCAGTTATTGTTTAAATCTTATCATGTCATGGTAAAAAATACTATTTTCTGGTGGAAAATAACAAAAGCACAAATATAATGGTTGATCATTAAGGCTGATTTCTAACCAAAGTATACAATCGTATATATTCTCTACCAATTGTATTTTTTTTCTCCATGTGCATTTTATAAAAATTTACCATTCCACCGCCTTCACCCGTCGTTCTATGGTATATGTGTTTGCAATATCCGGGTAACTCAATAACGTCATTATCCGTGCTCGTGATCCAGCATTCGGATAAACAAATGACATCATGTTTTGATAAAATTTGTACAAAATCATCGTCACCCAGTTTGCCAACTAGTCCCTTTCCGATGTTCCATGATACAATGGAGAGTTCACTCTCCTTATTGTCCTACCTTGGTCGTGCGTTGACCCTACTGTAGGGTGGTAGATGGGGGTTCTCGCGTTGTGGTTGCGGGTCGGTGGTTATTTCTCCGGGCATTTCGGCTTTCCTCCATTAACAAAACCTGGCATGTCCCTAAATGACCATAGCTGTTAATAGGGCGTAAAACACAAACAAACCAAACTGATCCTATGGTTAAGTGTCGATTAGGTTAGAATCACCTGTCTGTTTTCATAGCTGACATCTTTCATTCCTCATTGCTCTTCTCTAAACACTATTTTATTCGTTTAACTATTGTATATGAATTCTATACGAAGGCCCTGTGTTTAAAGTGTGCCTTTTAAAGATTTATCGTAAAAAATACAACATGTTACATTGTCTGAACATATTTACTTTTTTCAGATAGCTTCCATTGTTCTATTTTCTTTGTTGATCACATCGTGAGTAGTGTCCTTTCTAACCCCGAGGACCTTTTTTGCTATGTTCTTAGTAATGTGACTTCAACAACCTTATTTCCTTTATTTTATGTTAACGTAGATCAGCATTTCTGATATTCTTTCTGAATTTTATATTCGTCCGGTAGGAATTCCAATAGCCAGTTATCTTACCATTTTTTAAACCAATCCAAGTCATCGCCTGGATTAATTAATATGTTGCTGCGTTGATTGTTCCTGGTAGGTCATTAATATAAAAATAACAAATAAAAACTCAGTCCTTAACAAATATAAACTTCCAAAAACAAAAGAAAAATATATATAAATAACATAAAACAACGGCCCTAAAACGCTTCCCTGTGAAATTCCAACTCGCTACACTTTATCCATTTCATCGTTTTCTTCGTGCTGATCCTTTTTATTGAAACCAATATGTAGCATCTATTTTTTATTTGCTGTGATAACCCGTGTGACTTTAATTTACCTATGAGTCGTAAACAGGGACGGTGTCAATGCGCATGCTTTCATGAGTTTAAAACAAACTGCTTAGATTGTTTCTGATCGATAACCTCTGTCAAATTGTTAAGGCTCCAGTAAATAACGTCCTTTAGCAAATCTATTCTGATGTCTAATTTACATAATAACAGTTACTTTCCACAGTTTACGGCTTTCACATTTACTGGAGTTTAGTTTCCTAGTATATCCGTGCTCCTTTTGCCGTGTTGCTGTTATGTGAACCTCCTCCGAGCTATCAGGAAGCTCTCTTGTTTCAAGTACACTATTTACGATTTTTACAAAAAGGTGTCTTTAAGATATACACTGTTTCCTTCAGTACTTTCGGGTTAACATCATCTGGCTCTGGTGATTTTGATTCATTTAGTAATTCTTCCTCTGACATTTCTCTAGCAATGTATGAATTCTGTTTGGTAAGGCAGTTCCTTTTCTACGGCGTAATTGGCTTAGTGCCTAACAGAGCGATTTACGTGATCGGTGACTTCACAATTGTTCAGACGAAGCAGCGTTAAAATAGACAAAAGATAATGTTAGACTTGCACACTCTATGTTTCTTCGTCAAATACAATGCATTGTAGTGTGAGGACAAGTACACGTTTTGTACAGTCCCCCAAATTCCCTGGACTCATTTTTGGAGAGTAATGGGGATACAGATACTGTTTAGTTATAGTCTTTGATGGACTTGAAGGGAAGTTCATCCAAGTGTCTTTCCTTCAAGTTGTCTGGAGCTGAAAACGTTCAGTAGAACCACAGAGAATCCCGATTCCGTCTCCCGACTCCATACAAAACTGATGTTTAGGATGGGTATCAGTAAGGTGTTATGCACGTTGACCACAGTAGGTATTTTTAGACCTTGCCTGAAGACAGTGTCTCATATTTGGAAGTAATAACAAGTAACTGTGTCAAAGTAATTAAACTGGGTGACGAATTGACTTTACAACACTACATTGTAATGGTCAGCAAAACATCATTTCATTGTAACGATAAGCTGATACAACACTACATTGTAACG